CACTGTGTGCTTTCCAGTCTATCACAAATACCATCAAAGAAGCAATTTTCTTCCTCCTTTGCGGTGAGAAGGGAGGTCAGGCCCAGCCTCGACATGGGAAATGTGTTCCACGTCGACTGACTTCAAGTCACAGCGCAGGCCTGCAGCCAAGCGTGGATCCCATTACCCAGCAGCCTGAGGCTGATTTTCAGCATGGGTGAGCCCATTCACGGGGTGGTGCCCAGGCCCGGGGGAATGCTGGCGGGAGGCTGGGGAGGTGCCTGGGTTTCACCTCCACTCCTGGGAGCAGGCAGGGTCCAGGCCGTCTCAGGTCACAGCCCAGGCAGCAGGCATGACCCATCAGGGCCTGCTTCATGCTGAGGACTGCACCAAGCCCCAGCATCACTGAAGCCTCTGCCGGTACTGCCAGGAAGGAGCAGGACCTCAGACCTGCCTGTTCCTGCATGGGGAGTCCGAGGCCCGAGAGGGCGTGGCTTGCCCCAGGCCACCCGGTTTAGAGCACAAGTGGGGCTGCTTGCCTAGTCTAGTCAGTAGGGGCTTGGGTTCTGGGGTCGGGGGCTTGAGTCCAAATCTTCATGGCACCAGGACCTCAGGGGCAATTCCATCTCTCCTCTGGGCCCAGGCTCCTCAACTGGGACTCGCCTGGTCATGGATCCCCTCCTAGGGCAGCTTGAGCCCTGCTGATGGTGGCTCTCTAGGGCCGGCTCCACGTCCAAGCTCTCCTTCTGGCACCGCACCCCTCAAGGCTCACACAGTCCGTCAAGCTCGTGTTCATGATCCAGGCAGGCTCCCAGCAGATCTGGGCATCTGTTAGCTGCCTCTAAGGCTGTGAAATAATCCATGTAAACCCATCCACAGAAGTGCATGGAAACCTCCTATAAGAAGCACCACGCTCACTCTGGCTCAGCTCGACCAGCAGCTGCCATGCCCCCATTCATTTTCTCAGTAAGTATTCGTTCAGAGCCGGACACCCCAGAAAGGCCTCCAAGCACATCACCCTCTCACCTGCTGTCCTCACCCTCAACTTAGACTCAGGAAACTGAGGCCCAGGGATGCCTGGGCATTCCCTGGGCTCCACACTGTCAGGACCCTAGATCGAATTTGAACCTCAGCCCTAGCAATGCTTGAAGGGAACCCATCCCCACGGTAGCATAAACCCTGGGTGGAGTCTCAGCTCCCAAGAGGAGACTTGGGCCAGGGTAGTCCAGACAGGGGCCTGCACCCTCCTTCCTGCACCCGATGCATGCTTCCCGTTTGCTCCCACCTCTCCCAGGTGCAGGCAGACGTTTCTCTGGCCTGAGTGAGAACCCAAAAATGCTCCCCAGGACTTCTGGATACTTAGCTGAGACCAGGAGGAAGCAGACAAAGGCAGCCAGGCTTGGGGCACCAGGCTTCTCTACTCCTGTGCATGGCATCAAGGCAGCAAAAGGGAATCCACGTGGAGCCCCTGGCATGCAGGTGCGGCCTCAGGCAAGGCAGTGTGGGCTGGGGCGGGGGCTGAGCTCGGCTGCTCAGGGACTTGTCTCCATCTGCAACCTGCCCTCACCCGGGGACACAGAAGTCCCACTGGGAGCCAAACAAGAAGGGGGCAGCTATTCCATAAAGAAATTTTAACAGGTCGTTGAGGGCGTTGTGCCTGCAGATCGATATTTACGGAATGAGCAGGGAGACCCAAGGCAGCCTGTGTGGCTGCTGAGGCCCCTGGGCAAAGCTGTCCCCAAGGTCCTCTTTCCAGCCCCCACCAGTCCCCTCCCTGCCTCAGCTGGTGTTTCCTTTGCCTCCTTCTTCAAAATACCGAGAGATCCAAGGTTGTCCATGCCTGTGCTTCAGAAAACCCACCACACAAAGGAAAGAGGCAGAAAAATGCAGCTCTGACCCTGCAGGAAATGAACGCAATACAGGGAGCGGGACGAAAACCCCGAAGCCAGAATTCCCATCCTCTGTGGAACAGGAGGGTGGAGCCGTCCCGGACCCAGAACAGGTGCCTTGCAAGGACGCAGCTGAGAGCAACAGCAGCCCCTGGAAAGATGCGCTTGCCAGGGCTGTGAAATTGAAGCACAGAAGTCTTGGTGGAGAAAGTTGATGAAATCTTCCAGGAGGTCAGATGGAAAGACGATGAAATGGAAAACGTGGAGACAGAGGAGAGGAGCTGAATTCTCTGGAGAAGAGATGAGCCCCCAAGTCACTCAGCAAGGAAAGCTCCGGCTGGACTCTGGGCTGGAGCCCTCTGCTCGCTGGTCGCCCTGACCCTGAGGGATCCCTCCTTGGGTGGGCACCTGGCCCCACTGGCCTTGGGTGGTGGCTCTGTGATTCATTGTGTTTCTTTTGTGCCCCGGGCTGTCTTGCCCTCCCTGCTAGAACCAAGCGCTGTTGGTTCTTTTGTAAGTGAATCTCACAGCAATTTCATTCACTCCAAATTCTAAAGGTGTGGACCTGGAATAACAGGTCATGACCGAATGTGGCAGTGGCAGGCGTGGGGCCTCCAGGCTGTCTGCCGGCTCCTGAGGCACGTCCCTGCCACCGCTGCTACTGCGGCCAATTCCAGCTCAGGGAAGGCCGCACGGAAGGGGAATGGGTCCAGGGCCCCCTTAAAACCATGACATTGTAACCCAGCTGCCACCAGGGGCCTTGCCTCAGCTGCCTGGGCTGATTTTGTGTCTCATCTTCTAGGGTTTCACTAAAGCATTTAAATCAAGCTGCTTGCAAACTTGTCAGCCACGATGCAATAAAGAAAAGTGCCCTCCCGTGATGAAAGAGCTGTGGCTTGTGGTCAACGTGGAGGCTGAGGCTCTGGTGGCTTTAAAACTGGGGACAGGACACGTCCCCCCGGCAGAGCTGAGTGAAGAAGATCTCCAGTCGCTTCCCCATCCTCACAGCCCCCCGTGCATTTCTGAAAAATTAACAAGGCTAATTTTCTCGATCTAGAAAGCTGCGTTCCCCTCTCGCCAGCGCTTTCTGTGTGGCAATCAAAGGGTGCTGTTTAGGGAGCAGCAGTGGGTTCTCCATGCTGCCCCCGTGACCGTGACGGTGCTGAAGGAAATAAGTGCACGCTCTCCTTCTGGGAATTTGATTTTCTGGCTTTATTCACACGGCGCCTATTTCAGGAGGGTTTTGTGGTTTGGGGTCTAGAAATGAGACTGACGAGTCAGTCCTGCACACGGTCAGCGCGCTGTCGCAGAAGCCCGTGGGGGGCTCTGCACCTACCCGCTTTCCAGGGAGCCTCCACGTGACGTCCTTCCCACTGCCTCCGAAGGGCGACCTGGCTTCAGAGTCATGTGGCTGATGGGTTCAACTGCTCTTCTGAAGGCAGTTTTTCCCTTCTGCTCAAGCACAAAACCCAGTGTCTTTTCTTGGGCTGGGAGCCTCCGAAGATGGGTCCTCTCTTTTTAGGGTGTCCGGGTGGCAGCATTCCTGGGGGCTCGGGAGGTGGAAGGAACAGGGAACGCTTCCCGTCACGAACAGCTGAGAAAACTGAAATTGTAGGGAGATCAGCCCTGGACCCAGAATGCAGGTCTCACCTCTGTTCCTCCTCTGCCACTCTTCCCTTCTTTTCTTGCCCACGTCAGAGCTCACACTGGCTTCCAACTTCCCCCATTCCCACCTGGTTCTGTGCACAGCACACCTGAAACCCAAGACTCACTGGTCATGTCCCTGGTGTTGCAAGGGTCCCAGGCATACCTTCCTGCCCCTTGGGAGGTTTCCTTCTCCCGCCTCCCTCTGCTTCCATGTCGGGTCGGTCGATGGCACCTCGTACCCAGCCTCCTCTTCTCTCCCTGCTTCCAGTTCCATGGGACCCGTTCACCCCAAACTTGGCTCCCCACACAGCAGAATTAATCTCCCAAAGCCACCACCTTCATCGTGCCAGCACTCCTGCAGTGGCTGAGAATCCCTCCTGAGGACCCCGAGTAGCTAGCGAGGTGAACAGCATTCTCCCGCAAATCATGTCCTCCCAGCCCCTCAGAATGTGAGCTTATTTGGAAGCCTGCAGGACCCTGTCCTGCAGATGTAATTAGTTAAGGATCTTGAGATGGAATCATCCTGGATTTAGGGTGGGTCCTGAATCTAGTAACCAGTGTCCTCATAAGGAGAGGAGAGACAAGACATGGGTGTGACAAGGTGGGCAGAGACCGGGGGGACGTGTCCACAAGCCAGAATGCCGGCAGCCACCGGGAGCCAGAGAGAGGCATGGCGCAGGCTCCCTAGAGCTTCTGCAAGAACTAACCTTGGAGATACCTTCATGTCTGACTCGTGTCCCCCAGGACTATAAAAAACTCCACTTCTGTTGTTTTAAGAGCCCCCCGCTTTGTGGCACTTGGCTATAGTGGTTCCGGGAGACTAACACTGATCACTTAGGCTGGACTAGAAAGCCGAGGTCTGCGCGGGCTAGCCTAGGCCATTCATGTGCCGGCCCTGGGGACTTAGCCCTGTGCCCCCTCGGCACCATCCCACCTGTAATGGCATCCTGGCTCAGCCCGGGGTCACAGCCCCCCTCCTCTGCAGCAGCCTGCAGACACCCACAGCAAACCAGCCTACACGGAGCTGTGGGTGTCATTGCTGCTTTGAGGACCCCAAGTTTTGCTTTCAGCCTGGCCCCTTAAGGTCCTCATTTTACACTCCTGTGGGGACTCCCTGCCTTGGAGACTCTGTGACAGTTGTGCCCTCCCTCCGTGCCAGTGCCTCTCCCTGTCCCATGGGTCCTGGAAGAGGCATTAATGCAAACACAGTCTACTGGACGGTCCCAGGTCAGGGCCGTGTTGAGCATCGTTGGGAGATGTCCCTTTGACTTTACCCTGAAGGCATGGACGGCTCCTCTCAGCCATTCACGCTTAGGGTGAGGAAACACCTGTTATACCGGAAGTTCTGACGCCTGACAGAAACAAACCAACCCCTGCAGCCCCGGGAGGCAAGGGGCTGAGACCCCAGCTTCCTTCTCCACGTTTGATGGTTTTTCATCTTCTCGGATGGCCTGCGATAGAGCAATAACGATCACAGCAAACAAACTTGATTGAGGGTTTCATTGCCAGACAGTGTTCTGAAAACCTGACACGCCGATTTATCCTAACAATAATATCATAAATATTAATATTGTCAAATAAATGAAGGTAGATTTGTTTATATAGCTAGTAAGCTTCATGGGGGAGCTTTAAACTCAGGTGGTTTGACCGCAGGCCCCACACTCTGACTGTGATTTCCTTGAGCCCCTGCAGATGACATTTTTCAATAGGAAAAATGTTGCTGTCTCACTCCTACCAATTACACTAACAAAGCAGTATTTTCTGGTTTACCCTGCCTCTGTGAAATGACATCCTCTTGACTACTTCTGGAAGCCCCAGGTGTCTGCTGTATGGTGTCTCTCCTTGTTTCTGGAGGCAGCCATGAATCTCAAGCAGTCAGGGATGGTTTGATCCCTCTGTCCCTCCTGGCCATCTGGAGAAGATAATCTGGAGATTGTCTGGTCTGTGAATGTTCATGGAATTCTGGAAAGTGTACAGGAGAATAAGCTTCAGAGTAAGAGAGGAGGGGACAGTCAGCATGAAAGTTCCCTAGGTGACCAGGGTACAGGATGCAGCAGGAAGCCTAGGGATCTTGCTTGTATAATGTCTAGGAGTCACAAACAGGCAGATTGCCTGCTGAATCTAAATTTTAGAGACATTTTGACTGGCTGAGCATTATTTTTTAGAGTTTAGATGGATTGTACACATTTAATAATCTGGAAATCCTGGTTTCTCTTGATAAACCAGAATATCTGGCCACATTGGGTTCAACATTCCCCAGGACCATGAGCAGGGTTCACATGGCTCTTTGGGGGGCGGGGCTGGGCCCTGCTGACTGGGCCACATCCAGTTGTTGACACCAATTGGCTGACCCCATTGGCCCTTTGCTGTGGGGGGAACCAGGTTCTGAAAACTGCCTGGGGAGGGGGTGGTTCTCAAATTTCTGACATAGATTAATGCAGTTGAATGTTTGTGATCAGTCTGTCATAGATTTAATCAATAACACAAAGTCACATGTAACTATGTGGGTCCTTCTTTATAGCCGCAAAAGACAGCTGTTTTTAGAAACTGAGAAAACTTATACCTTAAGAAGATATTTTTATGAAAAAGGTAGTTCCAGGAGTTCATGTCCCATTTCACACCTGCAGTTGACTAAGTCCTGCAGGCTCACTGCTGCTTCTCAGGGGACACTGATGAAAACAGTATGGGATGACCCCTCGCTTCAAATGTGCGCTCTAGGAGAGCATCATGGGGGTGTCCACACTTGTAAGGTGGACAGAGTTCAGAACAGCATTTGCCCTACCAAAGCATTTTTCAGGTGACATAAGGTCCATGGCTGTTTTCTCTAAACTGGGTCCCTTCATTGTGTTTCAGGTCTATTTATAGCCCAGGAAATGCTGATGAGGTCAGCTCTCACAGGTGGGGCTGAAGGTTGAGAAAGCACTTTTCCACCTGCGAGGGAATCTGAGTCTCCCAACACGTGTCAAGTGAAAGAGAACAACTTCCACCTGAGACTCCTGGACAGGGGTGGGGGTTAGGGTGGTGAGCGCTGAGCTCTGGCCGCTTTCCGAGGGCAGCTGCAGATGGGGTTCTATCTCCTACCTCTGCAGCTGTGACCCCGAGGAACCAAGTGACATGACTGAGGAAGCCCAGGTGGCAGGGAGCCCAGGTGCCCTGCTCTTAGTCTCTCAGAAGCCAGTGGCCCAGCTCCCCTCCTGGAGGGGGCAGTTCTGCTCCAGGCTATCTTTGGGTGGGAACTGAATTCAGTGAGACTGCTAAGGCCGTCTCGAACGGGATTATAATGTCTGCTGCCTCGCTGCGAATGCCAGGCCAGGGTGTCATGGGAGGATGATGCTCACTCTGGGTTTTGTGTCTGAGACGGACGGACCAAGTGATTGCAAAAGGCTGATTTCCATGCTCACCCTCCACCGTGGGCTGGGTCTCTTGGAATGACGCGGACAGTGCTGCAGTGACCAGTGATCCAATGCGTCTCCTGACGGCCCCGGCAGTGACCCGGCGTGCCGTCTGTCCAAATCCAGATAGTGACAGCTGTCAACCGGGACCCTGCACTCTGCCTCTGCTTCTATGCTTCACTCCAAGGGGCCATGCCAGGGCCCCCATGCAGACCAGACCTCTGCAGAGCCCAGCCCCAGCTGGCAGGGGTGTGCGTGGTACGGAGTCCCCTGGCCGTGGCAGGCGGCGGCGTCTCCTGGCACCAAGCTGGCTGCCCCTGTGGTTTCTCATCCCTCCTCGTTCCATCGCTGGTGTTACAGGTGATTTATCTGCTGCTTGGCAGAACCCTGTAGCCCTTAGGAAACGGAAGTCAGCTACTGTGTTGGCGGAGGGAAGGACATGTACTTCCTGCTACATAAACTGGAGCCTTCCACCTGCCCATGGGCTGCGTTGGAGCCGCAGCCTGGCCCTCACCCACTCACCTTCCTCATGGTCTTTGCCTGGAGACGGTGGCCACAACCCTCCCAAACCCCAGGTTCATGAAAACAGCCCATAGTAAGAGCTACTCGCATTAGACATGAACCCAGATTCACTGTCGTCTGACATTAGAAATCTGAATTCAGAGATTTCCTGATGTGACAAGGAAAAGACGAGGCTCTCGTGTGCCTGCTCTTCTCTGCTCCCGCTGGACACGTGAGGATTCCAGCGCTCACAGATGGATCTTCTCATGAATGAATGGTGTTTGGGATGAGCAACAGCAATGCTTGGCTGGGAGGATGGAGCTGAGAGTCAAGAGGCATCACAGAGGCCTCGAGGGGAGGAGGGTGGCGGGAGCTGCCTCGTGGTCCCGAAAGTGCTCGGGTGCAGTGAGCTGCCCTCAGATGTGCAGGAAAAAGGGAGGGTGCAGGTGGATGCGGCCAGAAGCCACAGGGTTATTTGATGCTGAAGGTCACGCTCCCTTGGTGGCATGAGACGCTTGGGGAGCACAGACCCCACAGGCGCCCTGGGCCCCACTCCACAGCATGGCACGTGTGCAGTCAGCACCAGCCCCATGCACCTCTCTCCCTAGCACCTGGGGCACAACATTACCAAATGGCTGAACCTCAGAGCCAGGGCTCTGGTACCTGGATTGAGGATGTGTGAGGCACTGTCCAGCCCAGGATGGGAGACAGCCATCTCCTGGCTCCACCCAAGACACTGTGCTGCGCCAGACCTGACCGTGACCCTCACCACACTGGGCCCAGGCTGCCACCAGGACGGAGAGTGACTCAGGAAGGCAGGCTGCCCCTGGCCAAAGAGACCCAGTCACTGCTTCATGGGAGGCGGGCAGTGGCCCTGGAGGAGAGGGCGGGGGATGGAGTGTGGACCAAGGACGTCGGTGGGAAGGGGCGGGAGGTGGGACCGTCTGTGAGCCCAGGCTCCCCGCCTGGAACCTGCAGCTGGGCCTCATCGGATTGTGCTTGCAAAACACACACTAAAGAAAAAGCGACCAGCAGGGGCTGCAGGGGCGGGGACCCCAAGCACAGAGCCCTTCTGAGCATGGGTGCCAGTGCTCACAGGTCAAATGCCCACAGTGCTGGCCTGGAACCCACTTAGGTTTGAATATTCACCTCTTGCCCATGAAAAGAGCCACCAGGAGAGAGAGAGAGAGCACACGCCAGCAGTGCCTGGGGCTGAGGGTGGAACTGGGGCTGACAGCAAGCAGGCTCCAGAGGACTTTGGGGCGATGAAAATGTTCTAAACCTGGAGTGTGGTGAGGGCTTCACAAACCTGTAAGTTCACCGAAAAACATGCAATTGTATGTTTGCTCATGGTGGGTGAATTTTATGGCATGTAAATTATACCTCAATAAAGCTTTAAGAATCACACTGCTGAGGATTCAGAATTTGCAGAGCAAATGGTCAGTCACGAACTCTGCCTCTGTGCTCCCGCTTCCCTGCCTCAGTTTCCCAGTCCATGACAGGGGAGAGGGATTTCTGGAGAACCTTGTGCTCTGCAATTCTGGGTCTTTTTAGCTCCAAAGCTGCTTCTAGCCAGTCACTCTCGGAGCAGTGAAGGCCACGTCGTGCCTGAGGTTGGCCCAGAAGAGGGGTCTCCTGCCCCTGGGAGGAGCACCAGGCAGGGACCATGCCTGTGCTTGTTCTGGAACTGCCGCGTTGCCTCCTGAGCTGCAGGTGAAGCAGGTTGAGGGTGCCCTATGCCAGGCACTGCATCTGTCTCTCAGTGGCACCTTCTCCAGCACCCAAAAGCTGTGCTCGTGGCCATGGTGCAACCACATAGCCCGCCAGTCCTGGAGCAGTGTGAAGCTTACCATCCTATTCCAGGCCTGTTTTCAGAGTGTGTCTTTCACAGTAAACCCCAGTGTTCAAATAACCTCAAGAAACATGGCTCTGAGGCAGGCCTTGCCGTTCCAGCATCAGAACAAGCGCTCACTGAGGTGGGAGCAGCAAGGCAGGCCAGGAGCCCGAGGCCTGGACAGCTGCTAACCGAGTTCCCTCGCAGACACAGAGGCCCGAGGGTGAACCTGTGAAACTGAACACAGCAGCCAGTGGGCAGGAGACGCGGAACCCAGGCCTCCCTGCCTCAGTTCCCTGCAGAGATGCTGGAAAGCGGCCAGGCATGGGGCCCAGCCAGGGCCTCCCCAGAGACCTGTGGATCTTCAGGCTTCATCCAGAACAGGTGGGGTCCTGAAACCAACCTCCCTCAGCCCTGCAGGCACGGGCACCTTCGCACGGAGGAGCAGAGGAAGGGAGGTCAAGCTGAAGAGGATGAGCTTCTCCCTCACGGGCTGGTTGGCACTGGTGCCTCAGGCTAGGTCTGCAGTCACTCTGGGGGCTCCTGAGGGATATGAAGATGCCACACCTGCCACATCACTGCAGCAAAAGAGTGTGGGGGGACAGATTTTCACCCCCACTACCACACCTGTATCTCACGAATATTCAGTGACCAAAGGTGTGGGGGTGAAATGAATGGATTCTGATTCATCTGGAAAGCTTCCTTCCCCACTGACCACATTTTCCACGGAAAGCTTCCTTCCCCACTGACCACATTTTCCACGGAAAGCTTCCTTCCCCACTGACCACATTTTCCATGGTCTTCTTTGGTTTATCTTTGCCAATAGGCAGCACGAAGTTAAACCAACATGAAAATATGGACGCACCCTCCTCAAGCACCTGGAGAAAGACTGGGCCCAACGCAGCCCCCACCCACCATGCACCTGAGTGCACGCCATCTCGTGGGAGGCGCCCAGGCTTCCCTGAGTGCTGACCCAGGTGAGTGGACGCCTGCGTCTTCCATTGTGCACAGTGTTTCTCATGAGTCCAGACTCCAGTTTTCTCTGGAGACTGCCAAAAAAGCGTCACCAACAGCATCTGCCTTTCTTTTCTTCCTATTGAACTGGCTGTCCCCAGCAGATGAGTCTGTGGGAGCAGATGGGAAACTGATGGAAAGCCAGGAGGAGGGGGAGGCAGGGCAGCTGGCCACCTGAAGGTCAGGAATCGGCCACTGCAGGGAACCGCTGCCCGGTGGGAAGGAGCCTCCTCCCCTGAGCCCTGCAGCCCTCAGCGTGACTGAGAACACCCTCGTTTTCCCTCTTAGAATCACAGCATGTGCTTCTGTGCTAAGCTGGTCACAGCGCAAACGGACAAGAGAATTCAAGCACGGCCCAGAGTCAGACGACACTCTCCACTGCCCATGACCATGACCGCCGGCTTCTCCGACAAAAGGTCCTGGATGCTGTCGAGGTCCCCAGGGCACTGCGCTGGGTGTGAGTGTGCCCAAGTGACTCTGATACAGCCCTGGCCTCAAACAGCTCCAGGATGTGTGAAGAGAAAGACATCTGGACACCAGTAATGCTTTTTGGTGGCCTGGTGGTCACAGGCCCGCCAGCCACCAGCCTCTCTGCTCCACACCTGGGAGGGTCACCTGCAGAGGCCAGCGGTTGGCAAACCATCTTCATCCTAGAGGCAGGGAGCAGCCAGAGGTAAAGGCTGCTTTGAAACCCTGTCCCTTTACCCAAGCCAGAGACAACTGGGGATAAAGCCAAGCTCCCTAGGAGTGGACGCTCCAACACGCCTCCCCCATGCACCGTCCTCTGCACCCCTCATTCAAACCTGCTTCCCACGGGGATGCCTGCAAGGAAACACCCTGAAAACTCATCCGGGGAGAAGAGAGGCAGAGTGAACGCACCCTGCCATGAAGGGATACTGTGTGTCTGGAAGGGACTGACTGCCCTGGGGTGCTGGGCAAGAGTGAAGGTGCTGACCCAGCATACAGAAGGCGCTCAGTAAGTGTGAGAGGAACTTGAATCTGCAGTGTGGGATGACAAGGTGCTGAGCATCTGCTGCTGTGGAACACGTGACTCCTGAGCTCGGTTGAAATAAACCGTCAGTCAGCCTAGACATCTGCAATTTGGGGTGAGGGGGCTGAGAGACAGAGAGATGGGGTTGGGGGACATTGGCCAAGTTGCTCTGGGAAGACACGCCTGGGCAGTGCTCCCATCACAGCAGTGATGGAGGGGCGTCTGCTCATCTGTTTCCCATTACAAGAACCCTTTCTAGGGTCTCCCTCCCTTTGGCCAAGTCAAGAATGAAGGCTGAATGTTGACTGGCATGCTGTGAGGTCCCATGGGCCTGTGGCCCTGTGTGACCCTTGGGGAGCCTGTGGAAGTGAGGCGGGTGGGCAAGAGGATGCCAGCAGGAGAAAGATCTGTTCCAGGGAAGTGGCACCAGGCCAGAGGGCAGAAAGAGCTGCCGTCCCCAGTCCCCACTCCCCACTTAGGATGGCAGGCCTGGAGCCTGCAAAGAGGTTACCCTTGAAATTGGGAAGCCCTGGGCCAGGCTGCTGGCTCTGAACCTCATGGATGAATGCTTCTGAGCCACTTCGCATCCCTGAGCCTCAGTTTCCTCATCTAGAAAAGGGTTAATAGCTGCCCTTTCTTCCCAGCTTGGGTGAGTGGCGTGTGATGCTTAGGGCCCCTCTGCAGGGCACGGAGACCCCTTTTCTGATGGCGAGATCACCTTAGGTTCCATGCAGCTGCGTGCTTTGTCCCTCACATTTGTACAGCTCAAGATTGTGTGGGTTACCACCTACCCTCGAAAGGCTGGTGAACGTCAAACCTCCTCCCGCGCACCTGCAGCTGCAGGCTGAGTTTCTGGCAGAGCCTGCCGTGCCCCCAGGCAGCAGCGGAAAGGGGCAGGGGTCCTTTGTTTCCACATCTGGGCACTCCCTAACCCTACAGAGTGGACCCTTTTCTGCAATTGGAGCATTGAAGGAAGTGCAGTGCCGGTGGGGAGGAAGAGTGGTCAGTGAAACATTTCTACTTCATATGCTAATTGGTAAAGGCCGTTCTGTAGCTGTCTCTGGATAGGCGGCGCCCACGTCCTCCAGGACATGTGTGGTTGAGGAGGTCCCCACTGGACTCCATCAATGGTCCCTGGTGTCACAAAGTGTAGGTGACTACGCCTGCCGACTTTACCTGTGGGGTCACTTCTGTGAGCTGTGACCTCAGCACTCCTGGGATGACCTTGCCCGGGACCCGGGAAGAATGTCACAGAGGTGCAGAGTTCCTTTCTTGCCCCCTGACTTGTGAGCTGGACCAACAGGCCCTCTGTGCCCGGGATCCACAGGGCTCCTTCACCAGGCCCAGATGGGCAAGTCACAGAGGGCCTCCAGAGGAAGCTGTCACCCTTCACCCTTCACCCTTCACCCTTCACAGGAGCTACAATGAAGGGCAAGTGACACCATGTGCAAAACCACTGTAGAAAGCAAAGTGTGCCACACAAATCCAGAAAATGTGGAGGACGGGGCTGCCCAGGAAGCTGGTATCACGTGTAAGTAAGACAAAAACTCCAGGTTCCAGGAGGTGGCGGGAGGCTGTGCTTGGAGGCGTGAGGCTGTGATTGTCTGCTGGGTCCGATGGTGCTTGAGGCCGTCCTCCAAGGAAGGGCCAGCTGCTCCCCACTGCCTGTGCCCTGGGAGCTGATCTTAAGCCTAAAAGAAACGCACACAAGCAGAAGTGTCCTCGGCCAGATTCTCCCTCACTACAAACACATCTTTTGACCAAAGAAATTCCAGTTGCTCTAAAGGGCACAACCTGCAGAGCCTGCCCCATCTCATCCTGCTTGCGGTCCTTCCTGTGGCACCACCGTCTCTCCACCTCTGTCACCCGACAGCCCCTTTTTCCAGGAGCCCCTCAGTGGGACTGCACTGTCAATATCACCACTAGGCATTCCTCATGGGCAGCTTTGAGGAAAATCGATGGATCGCATTCAAACTCAACTCTCCTTTCTGAGAAACAATCCAGGTTTTAAACATCTCTCTTCTATTCCGCTGCTTTTCCCTTCCTTTCCAGGCCTCCTTTTATCCACAGATCTTTAAATTTCCAAATTCTGTAGCTAGCCAGTCCTCGGAATGGAATCCCCTGTAGGAGAGAAGAAAAAAAGTGGCCGAAGCCACAAACACAGCTGAGGACTGAGCCCGGCTGGAAATCGGGTTTCCAGTCCAGACCCTGCTCTGCAGCTCGGAGAAGGATAAAACGTCAGCAGAAAGAGGGGCATGAGGCAAGCTGGAGACGCTGCGGTGAGCCGGCGGGTGAGCTGAGGAGGGACTCCTCCCACCCGGGGAAACAGCCAGGGTCTGCCAGGTGACAAGCTCTGGCCAAGGAGAAACACTGGAAGCCTGCCAGGGACATCTGAGAAAGCTTTTTATTTCCTCATGGAAATGGCCACGCAGCTGGCACTGCCCTTCGGGAGTGGACACAAAGCCTGGAGGAGCAGTAGAGGCCCCATGAATGTGACCCCCAGAGCCGCCCACGATGTGCAGCTGCTGGGCCAGCACCAACCAGCACTGACTTCAAACCACCTGCCCCGTGAGAAAAACACACTTACTGGTTTATGCCAGTGTTTTCCGGGGATTTTATCACGTGCAGCCTAATTTATTCGTACACGACGCAGCTTTTCCACCTAGAGGGAGCACACAGCCATCTCAGGGAAGCGACGGAGCACACAGCCATCTCAGGGAAGCGACGGAGCACACAGCCATCTCAGGGAAGCGACGGAGCACACAGCCATCTCAGGGAAGCGACGGAGCACACAGCCATCTCAGGGAAGCGACGGGTAGGGACAACAGCAACCACTCATTTCAGTCTCCACAGAGTCGACTGTTGCCTCCCGGCTGCCCCACACGGCAGGTGCTTCTGGTCATGGAAGCCCTCCTTCTGCCCTTCTGCCCTCCCCTGGGTCAGTGGAGGATGCTGCACTCAGCCGGCGGATGGGAAACAAGGGACGGTCGTCTATTGATGCAGAACAAACCACCCCTACAGCTTAATGGTTTCCAACAGCAAACAGTTATGATTCACAGTTTCTGTGGGCTGGAAATCGGCACACAGCTCAGCTGAGCGCCTCTGCCTTGTATTCTCGGAGGGTGGAGTCAAGCTCTGGGTTTCATCCAAAGGTTCAACTGGAGGGGGGTCTAGGTCTCAGCTCACTCGTGGCTGTTCGTTGAATTCAGATTCTCACAGACTCTCAGGCTGAGAGTCTTTGTCCCTAGATGACCATTGGCTCCAGCCCCTGCTCTGTCCCTTGCCCTGCAGGCCTCTGCCTGGTGTCGTGCACAGCATGGCAGCTGGCCTCATTAAAGTGAGGGAGAGATGGAGGATGCTGGGACAGGACAGGAAGAGTGGGACAGAGGTCACCGTCTTTTATGCCCCATCTCATTGCTTCTGCAGTGTTCTGTGCTCTGGAAGCAAGTGAAGTCCCCTCCATACTCAAGGAGGTGTGAACGCCAGGAGGTGGGGATTGCCGGGCATCTCAGAGGCGGCCTCTCACAGGTGTAAAAGCAGGCCTGTTCACCTGACCTGCGGTAGCACACTTCACTACTGCTCACCTGTCTCATCAGATGACCACACCTGACCGTGGGGATGCCGGAAGGGCAGTCTAGTGGAGGTCCAGGAGCCGCAGGACATGGTGAGGAGAGTGGCCACAGTCAGTCTCTGCTTCACCGGGTGGAAGCCCCCTTCCTCCAGGACCTTCAAGGCTCCCTGCTCTCATTGGCTCCCCTAGCCAAGGAGATGCTCTGTCTCCCTTGCTGGAAGGTATTTTCCCCTTCATGCTTCTGGCTAAGATACTCTGTACTTCAGATTCTCACTCTCCCACTCAAACCTAGGGCTTGGGATTTTGGAAACAAAATCCATAAATTCCTGCAGGGGATGAGATTTCTGTTTTCACAGTCATGACCCTCTGGGGGGCAATGGGCCTGGCGCTGCTGACCACCTGCTTAAGTTGGAGGATGGGTGGAGAAGGAGAGACTATTGGGGGAAAAGCAGTGGGATGGATGCCCTCCAGGGAACACAGCATAAATTCTAATTCTGCACCAAGGACTCATGAGAGCAGGCAAGCTTGTGTTCCCCCGAAAACACTGGCCTCTGCTACTCACATGGGAGATGATCTTGGAACCAGCTGCCTTTCCCATCGGGCTGCTGGGAGTGAGTGGGACCCATATGTTCTGTGGAAACAGAGGTTCTCAACAGAGTCCAGCATCTGGGTAGGTCTGCACCACTCAGAGGTAAGAACGGGATCTTACCTCTCAGGGTTGATGTTCCCTGAGAAAGTACCTTTAACGTAATTTTGACTTGCTCTCACCAACACCCCATCAAACATCTTCACCATGCAAAAAAAAAAAAAAAAAAGTTTTGTCTAATTCATGTGTCCTGACCATAAATCACCTCACTGGGGCATCTTAGAGTGCCTGATACACACAGCACATGGCAGCTGGGGTGCCCCACAGCACTGCTCCCATCCTGCACACGCATCCAGAACTTGCCGCTCCCCGCGGGAAGTGAACCTCTTTCTTCCGCTCGTGGATCTCATGAGACCCGATGGCCACCCCATTCAGAAGTGGCACCATATGACTTCCACGGCCACGACATGCAAGATGACACAGCCTCTTGGGCTTTCTTTGTGTTGGGACCTTAACCTTGTAACCAAGTATGGGAAGTAGAAAAGTCTCTTTTTAAAGTTTACCTTTTTGTTAAAGAATAAGTAAGACGTGCACTAATATCTCTTTGTGAAGCCCTATCCTGTGCTGCTGTTAGACATGCCGTGATTACAGGCACGTAGCACATTCTATGTCCTTGTGCTTTAACCAGAATATCTGTGCTGGACGTGCTCGCAGGCATATTCCAGCTCTCCACTGCTTTTACCTGTTTAAAAAGGTTTTAAGTTGTCAGCCAATCAGATTTTAGTTTAGATTGTGAGGTCTGGCTCCAGCCAACAGAGATCAGACACAGCAGTAAGGACGACCCCAGAGGCATCACGGATAAATATGTCTTCTTTTCCTTTATTCATTGTACTCCCTGGCGAGATGGCTAGGGAGGGTCCCCTTCCTGCAGTCCAGGAAGTAAAAATTGCTTTGCTGAGAGATCGCCTGTCTCAGTGCTGATTTTTCTTTGCGGCACCGAACGTCTGTTTCCAACACCAAGTCACCATACTGTGAGGGAGCCCAGGTGCTCTGGCGGACAGTTCCACCAAGGTCCCTGCCCACAGTCAGCCTCAGCCACCAGACACGAGTGAGCATTCAAGCCACTTCACACCCAGCCCATAAACCCTCCCCGCTGGTGTCCAGGGCACGGGGAGGAACTGTCCCACCCAGCTCTGCTTCAATTGCAGACTCGTGAACAAAAGAAAGGTTGTCATTGCTATTAGCATCAGGAGTTGGATGACAGTTATACAGCATTAGATAATAACCATGGCACGTGCTCCCTGGTGCACCAGCCCAGGTGAATAACTTGTGAAATGCACAGTGAGAGCCACCTGCTTGTGGATTGGGTGACAATAGACAATAAACCAGTTAACCCAAACGGAAGCAGATTTGGTTATCACCATCTTGCACTCGGACCACGATCTGCTGGGAGGCCGGGGCTTGATGATCAGACCATATGCCTGTGAACGAGGATGGAAGAGTGGAAGTCGTGTCTAGGAAGGGGCACGTGAAGACGCTGCAGAGTCCCATCTTCATGGTGTGCGGTTCTGCCACAGGCTCCCAGTGCAATGCCGTGTCTCTTCTCTAGGATGAAGGGCCTATATCCAGCTCAACTGCAGGGGCACAAGGGCAGTGAAATGAAGTGGAAGTTTGTGGGGGCTCTGGAAACAGACCCACCCTCTCTCCTCCCACTCACAGGAGATTCTCACCAGCCCATCTGCCAGGAGCCGCTCCTGCTGCCCTGGCCCACACTCGGAATCCCCTGCAGGCTGTCCCCAGAGGACAAGCCCCCGAGGCTGTGTTGCCGGCCTGTATCTTCGGCCGCCCTGATCTCCACCCACAGGAGAAGCTGCAAAGACGTTCACAGCCGGTCGCTGACACCCTGCCGCCCCGTGCAGTGGACCCAGCTGTGTGGAGCTTGAAGACGCCACAAACTTGGAGACCTGCAAGAAAAAGAGAAAAATGGTGAACACACATTTAAGCATCAAAGTGAAGAGTTATTTGGAATGAGAAGAAAATTGCAACCAATTACGACACTTTGAAAGCTGACAAGCACCACAAGCATCACACGATGCAGAGAAATAGCAGCATCAGTCACATGATGATCACCAGCCTGTCGTACATTTCCCTTCAGTTTTGTCTGTATCGTTTCTGACGGTCTCGTCACACAAGTACACAACATCATTGCTGTGAAGAAAATGGAAAGACAATCCAGCCTCCTCCAGCATGAGCGACCTTTCTCTCACTGCTGAAAGCTTAGGAAAGTTCATTTTAACACGGCAGCCCATTATTGGCGATGACAAGAGAAATTTTAGGATTCTTGTCAAATTTAGGAAAATTGCTATCATATTTCTTTCACATATGACCTGTAAAATAGTAATGCTTTTTATGCTTTCTTGGGTAGTGAATATTCCTAAATACTTTGGACTGATATTCTGAATTAATTTCACTTTTGTTGGACAGATAGAGGCTTTTCAGTTGGCAAAAATTACAAATTCCTCATAATAATTTTTTCTCATTGGAGGGGACCTGCATATTAGAGCTCATTAGCTTTATGAAAATTTCTCTGTGCTGTGTGTCCCTGGCAGGCAAGCCTCTTGGCAGCAAAGCGAGGCCTGTGCCATCACCCACCTCACAGGGCTGGGGGAGTCAGCGCGGCTGTGCAGGTGCCAGCCCACTCCTAAGTGCTGGGTAACAGGTGAGCTGTATTATTTATTACCTATGGTTGTAGACCCCAGCGAAATGTCTTCACAAGACTGTAAAGTGAATCCTGGCAGGATGTGTTGGAGCAGCCTGTAGAGTTCCCCTGCAAAACACAGACCTTGGAAACTTCAGCTAACTCTTTTTTTTTTTTTTTTGAAATGGAGTCTCACTGTGTCACCTCATCTGGAGTTCACTGATGCAATCTCTGCTCACTGCAACCTCCATCTCCTGGGTTCAGGTGATTCTCCTGCCTCAGCCTCCTGAGTAGCTGGGATTACAGGGGTGCACTACCATGCTCAGCTAGTTTTTGAATTTTTAGTAGACACAAGGTTTCACCATGTTGCCAGGCTGGTCTCGAACACCTGACCTCAGGTGGTTGGCTTGCCTCAGTCTCCCAAAGTGCTGGGATTACAGGCATTACACACTGTGCCCAGCCAGCTAACTGTTTGGCTGTCACCCAGTTTTTAAAGGACAGTGCTGTCTTTCCATCCCTATCAGAAGCTAGTTTCTTGCTTACAAAGAGTTAGCTACAAATGAGCTTCCATTAGGGGTGGAAAAAGAGTGCTGTCCTTTAAAAACTGGGTGACGACCCTACCAGCACAGCCAAACCCATCTACTGAACAGTGTGGTCAAACAGTACATGTGCAGATGAGGATGTGTCTGGGGGGAGTACAAAAGGGGGGCAACCTCTTGAAGAGGGGCTTGGCTGTGCCCTAAAAACTCAGCCACACTCCACTATATGACTCAGCAGTCTGGGGCCCTGGGCATTTCCTCTAGATAAATAAAAACCTGACCATGGATGTTTATAGCAACTCTAGTCATAATCACCAAAAACTGGAAAAGCCCAAATGCGCTTTAACAGTGGAATAGCTAAACAATGGCACATCCGTGTCACGGACCACTTCCCAGCAATAAAAAAGAACGAACTTGATACAGGCGACAACCTGGGGTGGGTCTCAGGGTGTCACGCTGAGAGAAGGCAGCTCTGTACTGTGGGGCTCAGTTCTGCTCCATTCTTGAAGAGACACCACTGTGGGGATAGAAAACAGGTCAGCAGCCTGGGAGTTTGGGTGCAGGAGGGTGTGGCTACACGGGGCAGCAGGAGGGCTCGTGCTGATGGAATGTGGTGCGTCCCGATTGTGGTGCTGGTGACACAAATCTCTATGTCCATTAAAACTCACAGAACCACGCATAAGCACGTACAATCAATGCTACTGTGCGCTCTATTAGTCTGCTCTTGTGCTGCTATAAAGAAATACCTGAGACTAGGTAATTTATAAGGAAAAGAGGTGCAATTGACTCATAGTGATGCAGGCTGTACAGGAAGCTTGGCTGGGAGGCCTCAGGAAACTTACAGTCATGGCGGAAGATGAAGGGGA